TAACAGATCTAATATTCTACTATTATTTACTGTATTGAGTATCTAGTTGACAGATCTAGTATTCTACTATTCTTTACTGTATTCAGTGTCCAGATAACAGATCTAGTATTCTACTATTCTTTAGTGTATTAAGTGTCTAGTTAACAGATCTAGTATTCTACTATTATTTACTGTATGGAGTGTCTAGTTGACAGATCTAGTATTCTACTATTCTTTAGTGTACTGAGTGTCTAGATGACAGATCTAGTATTCTACTATTCTTTAGTGTATTGAGTGTCTAGTTAACAGATCTAGTATTCTACTATTATTTACTGTATTGAGTGTCTAGTTAACAGATCTAGTATTCTACTATTATTTACTGTATTGAGTGTCTAGTTGATAGATCTAGTATTCTACTGTTATTTAGTGTATTGAGTGTCTAATTGACAGATCTAGTATTCTACTATTCTTTACTGTATTGTCTAGTTGACAGATCTAGTATTCTACTATTATTTACTGTATTTGGTGGCTAGTTGACAGATCTAGTATTCTACTATTATTTACTGTATTTGGTGGCTAGTTTACAGATCTAGTATTCTGCTATTCTTTAGTCATATTTCAAGTAACTGCGCATGCGCAATATATCCTTGAATGTTTTTCTAAATTGCACTCTCACAATTTGATAAATCTATTTTTAAATATATTTACAACCAAAAGAAGGTGTAGAAAATTATCATATAAGCATCTAAGACAATTTATAATTTTCTAGTTACTCCTAGAGAAAATTTTTCACAAAACTATGAGCTGTGTTTTGAAGTTGCTTTGTATGTAATATAATTTGTTTTGTTAATTGTTCCTGAGATGGTATTGTGATTGATCGCATTTTGTGGAGAATGTGGAGGAAAATAAGGTGTCACTTCCGTAGATATAATTATTTACACTGTTATAATGATGTTGCTTAAATGACATTTAACTTGGTGCCTGAGAAACTTGTGAGTAATATTCACCATATATTTCTACTTTCACGTAGTCAGTTGTTACTATTTGTTTTGTTTATTATACATTAGACTGTGTTTTACCTGTCTTATTTATCATTGCATAGTGATTTAAACGTTTTCCAAAAGTAGGCTGGATTAGTTCTTGAGTTATCTATTTTCTGCGTAGACATTTTTTCAATTATTTTCTTGATGATTTTTAATTAAGTTCCTTATTTTATAGTTTTGTTGAGTGTTTTGAATGTTTCTACTCGTCTCCTTTCTAAAATATGCTGATGAACTTCGAGTGTTAGTTTACACTCTATTTATTGTCTTCGTAATAAGTAAATAACTGATACTATTTCAGTTTTAATGTTGGCTTGTCAAGAACTTTAGGCTTAGCAGTAGAAGACGATTTGTTTCTTTGTCAAATTGGTCCTAATCGACTGTGCTGAAGTCATATGTACGACAAGGGGAGTTAGTGTGATTTCTGCTCGAGTGTTTTATTGAAAAATATATTGGGTTATAGTCTTCTCCTATGTTTCATGAACTTTAAATTTGATATGAAAGAGACTAACTGAAAAATAATAATAACTAAGCCTGATATGTCTTGATTTCTTTTTTTCTGCGTGTTTGGTGGATGTATTATCGTCGAATACGATTAGGTTGTTGTTTAACGACAAGGGGTGTAAGATTTTGCCATTTTTATTGGTTATTACACAGTTAAAGTCCGTTTGTTTTGAATTCGTGTCTCCTAAAATTATGGGATTTGGGTTATTACTGATAGCCGCTTCCATGAGACAAATGTTTGGTTTGGTTATAAATTGCTAAAAGTGAGACTGGAGGAAGGTTTGCGAAGTATAGATGTTTCCATAGACTTTATTAGGAATCTCGTTCATTCATTCATACCCGCTAGATAAAGAAAACCAAAACAATCAAATCAAATTCGTGTCAGGAATTTAGGCTTAAAAATCTTTCAAGCCTCAAAAAAGATTTTGGGGCCTGAAAGACAACCCGAGGTGTTCAGAAACTTTTACTTCTCTTCACCCTTACGAAAACAAACTAAGCTAAGAACATGGTAGTAATTTAGTGTTAAACTAGGGGTTCGAGGCTCTGGGCACCGGAGTGGTCAGAAATAAATTTCTCATCACCCCACATGTGGTGGAGGTTAAGTAGAAAGACGTGAAAAAAAAACAAAAAAAAACGTGTGCATACACTCATGTAAGTACACGTTTTTTGATGTTTGACTCGTGCGAGATCGAAATTCGGGTTCTGTTAGGGAAGAACTGAAAGATGAATGTATGGTGTTTTTTTACTTACACAGTAATCCTATGTAAATACAAGAATATCAAGACCATGCAGAATTCATTCTAGTAATTTATTATTGCGAACTATTTAGTCAGATAAGGTGTCTAAAATACTAAAAATAAATGTGAAACCCGATCTACCATTTGATTTACCACTTGTCCGTGATTTATGCGGGTTTCAAGGAAATCCACCCATCATTGTTAATAAGCTACATTAATATAACAGTACTGTGTATTGTCAGTTGTATATCCATATAATTATTTCGCAAGGTGTGGATGGATATTCACCATATTTTGTATAGAAGTTCATTGGGTCCATGAGGAGATACATACAAATTTTAATTTTTGCATTTTGCGATTTCTATGGGCGTTTTTGCGCTTTATACCACTACTTCGACCCCTGTTGATGTATCTTCACCAAATTTGGAATGAGGGTTTGTTGGGTCCATGCGGAGATGCATGCAAACTTGTGGTTTCACATTTTGTGTTTTGCAGTTTTAATGGGCATTTTATTTGCGTTTTTCTTTTTTTTTTACAATTACATATAAAGGAAGCAAATTTTCATGTCCTAAAATAGCCTTTCATTAATCATGAATTTTCATAACTCCAGCTGGTAACTAATATTTTAATAGTTGTTTAGATGTATTACAATATATCTAAAGATAGTTCCTTCTTACTTACATGTTACCTTACACGAAATTTTGATTTGATTTTTATCACTTCTATTAGATTTTATTTCCTGTATAATCTGATTTTGTAGAGGTTTTAAAATGGTTTCGTGTTTCAGAAGAGCAATTTCTACACAAAGCTAAAGGTAAAATTGTTGGACAATCTAAGAATCGTTACTTTCTTTTCTTTTCTTTTTTTTTTTTTTGTCAATAACAGAGATCAAGAATCGTGAAAAACCTGCTTATTCTACAGTGACGGTGTAAACATTAAATGATAAAGATATAACGTAAGTTGTAGAGGTGGTCACCCTCATTGTTGAGAATAGTGTTAATATTAATATATGCTCTGTAGTTCGTAGAAAGTACAGGCTAGAGGTGAAAATTTGAAGTCAGTACTTAGTAAGTAATATAAGAAACGGAACCAAAACCCATACTTAGATAAATTCTTTATCTTAATGATATAATTGAAAGTAAAAACTTACTCCTGCTATTAAAGATCCTACCATCCATTATATAAAGTATGTTAAAAGGAAAGATAACATTTATGGGACTTGTTACATTCCATCACATGAGAGTTAAACTATTCCTTTTTATTCGTTCCCAATCATTTAAATATCTGTATTTTAGTAAACAGGTACGATACGTCAGACAATACCACCATGATTTTATTTAATACATTGATGAATTCTGTTTCATTTATGAAGTTGGTCAACTGATATGAAATTTAACCAAGACTAACCAAGAACGTTGAGTATTTCTATTAATCAAAATAATCTGACGTTTCGTTCGAGAAACATTTCATACGTTTTATTGTCACGAGTTTCAAATCTGTGATTAAACAGGACATAGAAATCATAGATTTATACGCAACAATTGAAAACATACTTTTCAGAATCAAAAGTAGCTTTAGCATGTGGCGGTATCTGTTGAGTATTTTGGGAAAAAGATTTAGTACCACATTACAGCAGGTAAGGTCGGTCATCTGTTGAATGTTCTAAGAAGTGAGAAAGTACTTTAATGCAATCATAGTAAAGACAAAGAAAAACCTGCAAATAACAGTAATTATTAACATGCATATTTTGGGCAATAAACTGTATGTTCCTTTATAATAAGATAAAAGTTTGAATATTTTTTGTTTGAAAATAAAGTGAATGAAGCTCGGAAACGTGTGCTGCATTGGGTTCGGCAGACCTGGCAGCAACCAAACTAACATTTTGTCACAGTAACTGTAGATATTTTTAAACTTTAACTTGTACTTTAAAAATTATTTCTAGTTAAATAGATAGGCTTATAGGAGTATGTATGAATCAGTATAAGAATGCAAAATAAATTACATGTGTATTCTGCAAGTTTATATGCTTGTGCTCACTATGGTGAGTATAAGTGTCAGTGAGCACCTATTTTTGTGAATCATAAATAAGTGCTTGCAAATGACTAATACTTTCAATAAATTATAGTCAAATTAGCACAAAATTCAATCTCAGAGCACTTAGTTTTGTCAATTGTCCTGGGGGGCATGCCCCCAAACCTCCCTAGCATTAGCATGATTTTCACACTATTCTGAGTTGCCTGACTAATCCAGAATTGTTTTCTTCACCTTGGGAAATACTGTTTATAAAGAGCACAAAAGAAAGACTAGCTTGATTAACCTTTTTTTTATTTCATTGTGGTGTTCTTGAGCATATTGGCGACTTTTACAACCAACCCGTGACGGGTTAAACTGTTTATAAAATTTAGATTGTAGAACTTTATATTGTGTACTACATACACCATTATAATTACCGTTTATATCTAAAGCATAAAACTATCTGGAGAAAAAATACAAATACATAGTTTAATCGTTTATTTCGCGTAAAAAAGAGCTCACAGAAATTTCTCCTTTTATGACATGTCACGTACACTAGGTGTACTCTTTGCCATGGCTTTACTCTCTGTTGAAATTATGGTCGACTTTTATTGACCAATCAAATGTTAGACTTGTTTCAGCTTGTTTACCAGTTGTATTCCAACGCCCTCTATATAGCATTAGCCAATGAACTTGAACATTGTTTCTTGAAACGTGTTAACTCAGTTCCGTCGTCGGTTGACGAGGTTTTTTTTTTGGCGTGATAAGTGTGTGTAATGCCATTCAGAGATGATGTTTATAGTCTAGGTTGAATATATAACTAGAGATGTCGATTATTGTCATATGTTCCACCAATACTACGCCAGCATTTGACTATACTGCCAAAAAGAAACCCATATCAAGTATAAAGCCGAAAGTACTACTATTGATAATAACGTTAGTAATACTAATAGTGGTACGATTCATACGACTAGGTGCGAGTGCAAGCTAGATCGTGATGTTAGTGTTAATAAGATAAGGGTTAACTCGGTAAGGAAGCAATGGCCCAAAACCGAGAGTTCACATATGTTGGAGTGTCATTTATAATAATTATACTGATAAGCCTGCAATATGGAGGGTTATTTACAAGCGCCCAATCGCATCACAGTAAACAACCCGTACCCCAGCATGGTTTGTGCGAACCGATCACTATACCTTTGTGCAAAGATATTCAGTACAATATGACAATGATGCCAAATATTCTAAATCATCAAAAACAAGAAGACGCTGGCTTAGAAGTGCACCAGTTTTTTCCTTTGGTAAAAGTGAAATGTAGTCCAGTCCTACAGTTCTTTTTGTGTTCAGTATATGCACCTGTTTGCACAATCTTAAATTATCCCTTACCACCCTGTCGATCTCTGTGTATGTCTGCTAAAGATGGCTGTGAAAGCCTAATGAACAAATTTGGTTTTAAATGGCCAGAGAGTTTGGATTGTACCAAGTTTCCCGAGGCAGGTGGAAAGAGCCTCTGTGTTGCACAGAATAACACAGGGAAATCAAGCCGTGAAGGCACTCCACCATCAAACAGAGTGGACGGCCCAATCAACTCCAATACGACTAAGAGAGACATAGGATTTGTGTGTCCTGTTCATTTTAAAGTGCCAAAAGGATTGGATTATGTAGTAAGAGTTGGAAAAACAACCGAAAAAGACTGTGGACTTCCATGCCATGGGATGTTTTTCAGGAATGAGGAACGCAAGTTTGCCAACATCTGGATAGGAACATGGGCCGTGTTGTGTATGTTATCAACGTCGTTCACTGTACTTACTTTCACTGTCGATTCAAAGAGATTTTGCTACCCTGAACGACCCATAATTTTTCTGTCGGCCTGCTATTTTGTAGTGGCCCTGACCTATGTTGTGGGACTTTTTCTTGGAGACAAGGTATCATGCAATGAACCTTTTGATCCTCCAGGAGATAAGGCTGGTGTAGAAATGGTGCAAACAATAACTCAAGGAAGTAAAAAAGAAAGTTGTACAATTTTGTTTATGTTACTCTATTTTTTCAGCATGGCCAGCTCTATCTGGTGGGTAGTTTTAACCCTAACATGGTTCCTAGCAGCTGGTCTGAAGTGGGGACATGAGGCCATTGAGAAAAATTCTCATTACTTTCATGTTGCTGCATGGACTGTGCCTGCCGTTAAAACTATAACAGTTCTTGCTATGGCCAAAGTCGACGGAGATGTGTTGAGTGGTGTATGTTATGTCGGCATTTGGAATGTTTACGCCCTACGTGGATTTGTTCTTGGCCCACTCTTTGTCTACTTTGTTTTAGGTACTGTATTCCTGTTAGCAGGTTTTGTATCTCTATGCCACATTCGCACTGTGATGAAAAATGATGGTACCAGAACAGATAAGTTGGAAAAACTGATGATACGGATCGGAATATTCTCCGTCCTTTACACTGTCCCAGCTCTTATTATCTTGGCATGCTACTTTTATGAACAGACATACTTTGACTCCTGGATGCTAACCTGGCAACACCAGATGTGCAAGCTGCGGAACTATAGCATCCCTTGCCCTGTTCACCAAAACCACTGGCCAAAACCTGACTTTGCAGTCTTTATGATTAAATACTTAATGACTTTGGTAGTTGGTATTACTTCAGGATTCTGGATATGGTCAGGGAAAACTTTTAACTCGTGGCGTAATTTTTATTTCAAGATCCGTAGGCGACTACTGTGCTCCGAGGCTTATGTTTAACTTATGTGAGTTTATAGTAAGTGTATTTGTAACTGTAGACTTGTATTGCATATTTGTAAAGTCTTAAGTGGTATGGCTAATTCCACATGGTTTTGTAATGCCATAAATTCTTTTTTTTTTCTTTTCAAAGCTTGAGAATTCAGCTTCAAACATATACTTTTAATATTGTATAAAGTGTGGTCTTGTCCAGAAATTGTAATGAATTTTTTTTACATTACCAGTTATTAGTGAAAGTGTCAGTGTTTTTGTGGATATAGATTTATGGTAGATAGTAATATAACTTCTTGTATTGTGTTTTTATAAATCTATTAAAGTTTGCCCTTGTACTTTATAAAATGAGAGAACCCTAGTTTAAAATTTATAAAAGACAGGATAGGCTCCTGTGTTTTAATTTTCTAAAAAGGTGATTGGTTTATAAAGCGAGTTGCCATCAGCATTAAGGGAGGACAGCACACTTAACAGAATTTTCTAAAATTAAAGGGTTTTTTAAATTTTGACTTTTCTCAAGAGTGGTTCAGAAAGGACACCCTTAAAACAAACCAAATGATCTCTGATTTTCTTTATGTTATGTCAATATTGTAACTTCTTGCATATAGAAAATTCATCTTTGTTTAACTTACATTATACTCCATATAACATGCTTGACATTGTTCCTAATATACTGTATTAATTCATACTTTTCTATGAAGTTTGATTAGAATCAATTCTTAAGTTGTACTTCTGTTTAAAAGCTACTAATTGTTTCATATCTGTTATAGTAAGGATCCCAACTTCACTCGTGGTGAAGAAACTTTAACATTTTGTAGTTATTGGTACTTGAAAAGTCTGAAGTATAAATTTTTCTCTGGTATTTTAAAATATAGATGTGTCAGGTATGTGGAAAATATACAGTATTGTAGCATGCCATTCTTTGATTATAAAGGTTATTGTCAAGAGTTGAAACATATAAAATAATCTATTCAAAAGACATACTGTGTAACAAGTTTGTTTCTCATTTTGTAATTATTACAAATAGAATGACTTGTCAGCTCTGTGACTGAGATACGAAAAATCTAAACCTCACTATCACATGCAGTCTGTCGTACTTCACTCTAGAATTACACCCATTTCTATAGTAAACATGTATGTACAGATGAACTACGTAAGTGCTGTACCTAATCACCAGCCACAAGATGAACATTACTTTGAAAGTTTTATAAAAATCTAAACCTTGCTATCACATGCAGTGTAATGTTCATCTTGTGGCTAGTGATTAGGTACAGCACTTACGTAGTTCATCTGTACATACATGTTTACTATAGAAATGGGTGTAATTCTAGTGTGAAGTACGACAGATTTGAAAGTTTTATAAAGACATCATTGTTTCTGGTGGTGAAATTCTAAGAACCTATGAGTGATAGGAAAGGAGAATGTTACATGTCAACTGTATTACAACTCCCATATCCAATGTTGAAGAGACCTTTTGTCCAAATACCAGGGCTCGTATGGCCAGCTAGAATAGAACATAATGGTCTAGGCACTAATGTGTGTGTGTGTATATATATATATATGTTAGGGTGTGAATCAGATAAATTTTAAGAAGTTTGCTAATGTTAGACGAAGCCATAGAAGTAACATGTTTCTAGTTTTGAATACATGAATTAGATTCTTAGATTGGCCAGGACAATGGTACAACATTTTCAGTTTGAGGTTTTTTGCAAAACTGAACAATTAAGTAAGCAATATTCCCTCTATTTTTTTCAATCCATGTGTAGAATGAATTTTTTTCATGCACACCATTATTAAGACAATGTGCACTACCTTTTTTTTTGGGGGAGGGGGTATTTTCAGACCATCAATCCTATTGGATAACACAGGCTTGCAAATTTAATCTCCATAAAAGTTGATTTGGTGTTAATAATGGATTTTCCATAATTCAGCTATGCAGATTTGAAAATAATAT